TGTGAGATCTACGATAGTGTGAAAAATGACAGCAAGAACAAAATAACGTGAAATAAAATAGGAGTAGGAGTCAACTAGATGGACCATGAAGTCTGTTCCGCTATTCAGTGTATTCGTGAGTAATTTTGGATCTCCATTCAACTTTACAGCCATAAGATCCATCTCTTGATTTTCCTAGTGTCGGAGAATCTTTTTTTCTCAGCCTTCAATATTGTCAGTGATTGAGCATTCACAACCCTTTACTTGCTGTCTCTGTGCTATCAGAGTGGGAAGAAAAATTGGTCACACCTTCTCACCCACAGATATACACCTTCTGTCAGCACCTCTTGGTGTGGAATTACCAATTATGTAGAGAACAAAACAGTTCACCTTGTGAAGTGTGGTGAACAGCAGGCAGGGTGGAGATGGATTTCCATCAAAGACAAATTGATGATGCAGCTTTTGATTCTCTTTATTTTCAGTAAGTCATCATCTTTAAAAGAATTGTTTTTTGTTTTAACGAATGCTCACCTTTGATTCATAAGCCAAGAACAATTATTGTACATCTGGACAGCTGCTGTGGCCATGAAGTCAAAGAAATATTTGAACAGAAGAATAAAACCAGGACCATCCACATCCTGAAGACAAAACTGAATAAGATCAAAAGAATGAAGTGTGTTGGAAAACAATGTTTGAATTATTATTACAGTCCATTCTGTGTGAGACAAAGCTTCTGGGCATAACTTTCATCTATTGCTGGTTAACAACAATAGCTGTGCTCAACTTGAGCCAAATAATTGATGTTAGAACTAAACATGGTGAGGAACAGGGTACAGACTCATTGGAGCTGCATGTATTTCAGGAACAAATATAGCTTCTGTCTACATGACTAGACCTATATAGGGTTGACTGCCCCTCAAACGCACCTGCCAATGTTGGATCAGATTATGTTATTTGGATCCTTTAATTATGTGCCTCATTGTAGTTCACTGTTTTATCTCAAAGAGAGATGGTGCTGAAAGAAATCATTAGATCAACATAGAGTCATACAGCATGGAAACAGACCCTTCAGCCCAACTAGGGGCAGCACGGGGGCTCACTGGTTAGCTCTGCTGCCTCACAGCACCAGGGACCTGGGTTTGATTCCACCTTTGGGTGACTGTCTGTGTGGAGTTTTCACATTCTCCCTGTGTCTGTGTGGGTTTCCTCCAGGTGCTCTGTTTCCTCCCACAGTCCAAAGATGTGCTAGGTGGATTGGCCATGCAAAATTGCCTGTAGTGTTCAGGGATGTGTAGATTAGGGGTACGGCTCTGGGTGGGATTCTCTGAGGGTTGGTGTTGACTTGTTGGGCCAAAGGGCCTGTTTCCACACGGTGGGCTTTCTATGATAGTCCATGCCGAACATAATCCCAAACTAAACTAGTCCCACCTACCTGCTCCTGACCCATACCCCTCCAAACCTTTCCTATTCATGTACTTATCCAAATGTCTTTTAAACGTTGTACTTGTACCCACATCCACCACATCCTCAGGACATTCAGTCCACACGCTAACTACCCTCTGTGGAAATAATTTGCCCCTTACAATGTTTTTAAATCTCTCTCCTCTCACCTTAAAAATTTCAAGCCCTCTAGTCTTGAAATACCCCCAGGCAAGGTGATCTTTCCCAATATAAAATAAATGTACAAGGGTAGCAGGCATTTACCTGAGTTCCATGATTTCTGAGCCATCAGAAAAACATTCTCCTCTAATGCCCCAACTGGTGCTCATACTACTGAATGGCATGAATTAAGCAAATAATGAAGTTGTGCAATTCCTGCACTAAGGTACACACAGACAGAGATGAAGGTTGCCACTCCCTTGCTTTGCATTAACTTCTTAACACCATTCCTCACAAAATAGCACTCTTAGCCCATAGAATTCAGCATACACAGAAACAGGTCATTTGGCACAATTGGTCCATGCTTCAACATAATGAGTCTGAGGAAAATATTTCTAAAGAAGATCAATTGATGTCAAGTTAAGATAAACCCCTGCTACTGTCATACCTTACACGGACTCAAAGTGTTGGGGGATTGTCTCAGGGTTGGGTGCAGGAAGTAACAATCTATATATCTGCAAATTCCAAAAGCATAATCTTGCTGGCTATAACAATGTAATAATTACTCAGCACCCATCAAGCAGGTGCTGGAGTTCTCTGTTATTGTTTCCGTGTATTCTGTCACAGGCAAATATCTGGGATTGATTCTGAAACTGAAAGTCTTTATGCTGTCAATCTATCCAATTGCATGTTAGAAGATTTGTGAGAGCAAACTCGCATAGTCCACCAGCGTGTTTTGATGCTGTGTTGATGGGGAAGCATTTCAGTGGCTAAAATGTTGGGACAAGGTCCTTAATATATAGGGAATTGGACAGTGCTTTGTAAACTTTTTATCTCATCATTTTTGCAGCACTTCAACACAGTGCATTTATTCAACAGCATTCCTCCACTTTGTTCCTTTTGAATTTCCTCCTCATTTCTTTCTTGAAGACATTAACCTCAATATATTAGAAACATCATCAAGATGTTTGACTGTGGGCATCACAACTAAGTCCATCGCTGTCCTTGGCCCACATCCACACACAGTATTTCCAGCTGAGCTTTCTGAATAGGCACCATAGCTGCCCTTCCTGATCTTCTCCTCTGTGTTCATGAATCAGGCCAATGTTAATGCATTGGTTGGAATGAGCCAGCAGTGGAGCCCAGTACAAGCTTTTAATTGCATGATTGAGTCAGTGAACAATGGAAATACTTCTCAATCTGAGCACAGTACTGCCTGGATTTTAGAGCTGTCATATTTCAGGGTGTGGAAAAAAATACAGCATAAAACTACACCCAATATATTACCCTTTGCACATCTCCATTCACTTATAACCTTCAATTATTAACTTGTGTTTGGCTAGAAGGTTCTTTAATATGCATTAACCTTTATAATAGTTCCAATGGTGCATTTACACACTGACTTTAGAGTCACTTTCTTTGATAGGGGCTGATATTGTGAACTTGGTACAATTGCTCTGTAATTGCCAAAGTGAAGCTCCCAGCAACTGGGGAATTTGTAATCACAGGCTACAGCATTTATGTGGCCTTCTGGTTCAACAGTGCAGAGTATCGGTCTGCCTGGAGCTTTCACAGCGACGTAAGTTGTTTTATGTCTTTTAATCATGAAATTTTGAATTGAACATTCCTCTTCAGAATGATGTCCGAAAGGCTTTTCATTGTTCATAAATGTTACAAACTACACATGTCATACACCCTGTGTTTCTTGTTGTCATTGTACTAAGGGTTCCATGAGCTCCAACCCACATTAGGTTTGAAAGGCAACTCTCCAGTGAACTCAAAACTATTCTCTTTCACTTTGTGTGATGAAAGATAAATTGTACATTTTTAGATATGGTCACTTCATCAAAAAGATTTTGGTTTCAAAGAAGGAGAGATAGTGTGTTGATCAGTATCATTTTCTCCACTGTTCATAGTCAGACCAGCACTAAGCTGGTATATATGTCCCTGTGAAGATTAGGTAACAGGGATGAAAATTACATTTCATGCTGGATTTTTTATGTCAAGCTAACTTCCATAATTTACCTCACAGGGTCACAAGGAACCTGAATATCTCAGTCCTTGTCTGTGTCCCTGGACTTAGCTTCAGTGAACGCTTTTCATAATTTTAAACAAAAGAATGGTGCAGTTTTTTTTTTAAAAAGTAGGAGAAGGAAAGTCTTTTTGTTCTCTCTTCCTCATTATCTTTCTGTTCTTCTCCAAAAATATCTCTCTCTCTCTTCTGGCTACTCATTCAGATGCCCATAACTCAACTGTGAACATTAACAGTGAGGGCAGACACACTAAAAAGCATAAACTTCATCACACCTAGCCTTATTCATGTCTAAATTGCAACTCTGACTGCTTCCAGCAATATTCATTGGATACCAGTTAGGAATGGGAATCTTGGTTTACTAAGCCTGTTCTCTTTCCCAGTCTGGATGATGTAATCATTCATTGTGGGTGTACTCATTGTACAAAACTATATGTGCCCCCACATTGTTACATTCTACTGTAGATGTATCCCGGGAATGGAGTCTACGAGTGATGGGATATTGGAAAAGCATATTAAAGGATATAAAACTGTCTCTACTGTAACAGCTTCCCCAGGGCTTACTGTACCGCTCCTAAATCACACTGGTCCTACAAGGCAGCTATGCCTATAGCAAAGGCCTGGCCATCTGTCCCTAACATTTATACATGAATAGTGAGATAGATTAGCTGAGGCTGCAATGGTGCTGTCAGAATTTCTAAATACAAAATAGTTATTATGTGATCCACTTTACATGTACAATACACTCTAAATAACTTAAACTCTCTAAACAATAACTTTTCAGCCTTCTGAGAACAATTGGCTAAGTCACGTGACCTTCTGATCTCTCACTTTCAAACTGTTCATTCATCATGCTAAACTGTGAGAGGAAGTGCACAGGTCCATTTAATGGGTTGCCAGTGTTAAGGGAGAGCACTAAGAGGGTCATTTAATTGTTCTATCACCAACAGTCACAGGTATTGAGTGTAACAACTAATATTTTCAGTTCACATTGCTTCCAAGGAGAGAACCTGTCTCCTTTTCTCCAATTCTAACTTGGTCAGTGTTCATGTCTGCTCCTATGACCTCTGTAGAGATTTTACAAAACAATTATTTATTTTACGATGAGGAAGATAGGTTCAATTTTACACAATGGCTAAAATATACAGCATTGGAGATTAGTCTTTCTACTTCTTCCCATTGTTGTGAGTGTTAGTCAGTGCAAAATGAATACTGTGAGAATGCTTTACTTACGCTGTTTGTGCTGACATAGCACTTGCATTCGAGCAGAGACATTAAGATATCTGGTAGAAAGAAATGAATGCAAATGCGAAGGATAGCCACAGACACTTTTAATTGGAACATGTACATAACTTAATCCATCTCACCTAAATGGTGAAGCATATAGCTTGTGCAGACATATCATAGCTTGAACATCAGCAACAGGAAAGATGTTGAGTTTACATGGTGGATATTTCACTAAATTCAATTCTTCTTGGAGTCTGGAGCAACAATCACCTTGTGTATAAGTGCAAAACATATTTTCAGGATTAAGGAGATGCTATTTCTTCCCATTTATTTTCTACAAATATAAGTGTTTTAAGGTCTAATTTAAAGCATGGTTGGATGAGATGCCTGCTGTCCCAAGATATCAGACAGATTCAGTCTGATGCCTTTCCTTTTGTACAGTGAGATACTTCAAATCCATCTATCTGCCTCAATGAATTCCATTGAAATATTTATTTATGTCTACACAATGTCCCAGCAAAAAAGTAAGTCTACACATAACTTCAAGAATGTTCAACTATGCAATTCATAATCGGACAATTGGATCATTTGTTTTGGGAGATCCGGAAACCCAGTTATTTACCAAAAGAATGGAGCCACGTGATTTACTGTTTAAAACAAAAGTACTTTACCCTACACAAATCAAAGAACTTGAATATTAATAATTACTTTATCTCAAACAGTCAGTTATATTGAAAATATTAAAAGTACAATGAACACAGTTACCTGTACTCTAAACTAAAATTCTTAATATCTGTGCCATTTGACAATCACTCCAAAAAGCTCAAGTTGAATATTTATCATAAGTTAGAACATTAATCAGTTGGTCTGAGTACTATTTCAAAGTTTTATATAAGGGTTGCGATTTTTCGGGTCTTCCACTTACTTTCAGCAAAGTTGCCCCTTCAAATTTCTTTCAATTGTTCCCATGGTTGTGGAGTCCAACCTGTTCTTCGCTAGCATCTTAAGTGGAGTCACTGATGGTAGGAACTTTCCAGAAGCTAAATGTTCTTTAACTCTGAATCTGTGCACCTGGGAACTCTCTCTCTCTCTCTTCTCAGCGTGGCTATCACCAGATGTCCAACTCTCTGTTAATAGATTCCTTCTATTATCAAGGATTTTTAAACACTTTTAGCCAATGCACAGAATTTCAACTGAATTGTGTTTGAAAGAAATGTGCTCCGCAACTAACTTATTCTAGATTAAACGGCCTGAAAACAGGACCAAACCCAGGAAATTACTACCCCGCTCCCACCTTGTAATTAACCCTTTTTAACCCTTTACCGTTGGTAATGTCCCAGACAGCTTGGTCACATGTACATTACAGGAAGCAAATTGCTGTCTACAAAATACAATCTTTTTGAGAAACCTAGTGCTTAAAGTGATTACAACCCAAGATAACATGCAGTTTATTCCCCCAAGTCACACTAACAAAATAGCATAACAGCTTTGAGAACAAATTGAATGGGGTTACTGGGTAAAGGGCAGGGGGCTTGAGGGGATGTGTAGTAATTGTGACAAGGTTAGCCAGGTAGACCTCATAGAAAATGAGTTCCCTGATTGGGGCTGTTAATCTGATCCAATCAGGGAGCCCTGGCCGACGGATATAAACAGGAGTGTTAGAAGTTCTGTTCACTCTGAGAGCTGGCTCTGAGGAATCCAGGCCAGAGTCAAGTACTATGTAAATAGAGGGTGACTTGGTGACAGGATATCAGCCTCTGTGGAATTATTTCAGGATGCCCCTTATATGCCCATTCTGGGTTTGATGAGTTAAAACTGACCATGTTACCCTCCTTATTCATAATCAACTCACAATCACGTGATCTGACAAAAGAAGAAAACCTTTCATTCTAAAACCTGAAATCACTCAGGTCTCACCACATTAACAGCTTGGGTTCACAAAAGTGCATCATGACTGGCATTCCTGTGAATACACTTAAACAAAAAAGACAACATAAAATTTAATTTCTACTTGAATGTATTCTGCTTCAAGAGACACGCTAAGGAAGGATGTCCCTTTTGGTGCAGACGGGCATTCACTCTGGAGAGCAAAATGACCTCTGAGCAGCTGGAAATAGTAGAAAAAGTGAAATAATATGTGGAGAGCAGGCGAGAGAAAGGGTTGTTTTTTCCAAGTGATTTCTGGAAGCTGTGCCCTCCAGCCTTTTTTCATTCTACACTGTCACCTTGTAAATCGTCTTTGATTGTTCTTACATTTTTTTAAACCAACATAAACATTTGGTGAGAGTTGAATCTAAATTATTCTAGGAAGCTAAAATTGGACAGGGCCCATGAAAAATACAAAGAAAGCAGGAAAGAACTCAAGCAGGGAAATAGGAGAGCAAGAAGGGGCCATGAAATGATCTTGGCACGTAGGGTTAAAGAGAATCCCATATATTAAAAACAAAAGGATAACTACGGAGAAGGTAGGACCACTCAAAGATTAAAGAGGGAACTTGTGTTTGGAGGCAGAGGATGTAAGTGAAATCCTAAATGAGTACTTTGCGTCAGTATTCATCCAGAAGAAGGATATAGAGGATAGTGAGATTTGTGTGGACCATGTGAACATACTAGGGCATTTTGAGATCAAGACAGAAGTGGTGTTGGGTCTCTTGAAGAGCATTAAGGTAGATAAGTCCCCAGGGTCTGATGATATCTATCCCAGGTTATTGAGAGGCAAGAGAGGAGATTGCTGGTGCCTTGACCAAAATCTTTGTATCCTCATTAGCAACTGGAAAGGTCCCAGAGGACTGGTGATTAGCTAATGTTGTTCCTTTATTCAAGAAGGGAAATAGGGATAATCCAGGAAACTATAGACCGGTAAGTCTTATCTCAGTAGTTGAGAATCTATTGGAATGAATTCTTTGGGATAGGATTTACGCGCATTTGGAAAAGCATGGCCTAATTAGAGACAGTCAGCATGGCTTTGTGCAGGGCAGGTCATGTCTTATAAATTTGATTGAATTTTTTGAGGAGATGACAAAGGTGATTGATGAGGGTAGAGCAATGGATGTCGTCCTCATGGATTTTAGATAGGCTTTCGACAAGGTCCCTCATGGTAGACTTATCCAGAAGATTAAGTTGCATGGGATCCATGATGACTTGGCCACATGTGTTCAGAATTGGCTTGCCCATAGAAGGCAGAGGACAGTGATGGAAAGTTGTTTTTCAGGCTGGATGTCTGTGACTAGTGGTGTTCCGCAGGACATTTGCTGTTTGTAATATATATACATATGTATATATATAGATGGGTGGGTTAGTAAGTTTGCAGATGATACAAAAATTGTTGAAGTTGTGGATAGAGCAGACGGCTGGCAAAGGATACAGCAGGATATAGATCAGTTGCAAATATGGCAGAGAAATGGCAGATGGAGTTTAATCCATCTAAGTGTGAGGTGCTGCACTTTGGGAGATCAAATGTTAAGAAGAAGTATACAGTTTATGGCAGGACTCTGAACAGCATTGATTTACAGAGTGATCTTGGGGTTCAAGTCTATAGCTCCCTGAAAGTGGCCACGCAAGGAGATAGGGTGGTAAAGGTGTATGGCATGCTTGCCTCTATTATTCAGGGAATCAAATACATGAGTCAGGACGTCATGTTGCAGCTTTATAAGACTTTGGCTAGGCCACACTTAGAGTACTGCATTCAATTCTGGTCGCCACATTACAGGAAGGATGTGGAAGCTCTGGAGAGGGTACAGAAGAGGTTTAACAGGATGCTGCCTGGATTAGAGAGTATGAACTACAAGGAGAGGCTAGAAAAACTCAGATTGTTTTCTCTGGAGTGGTGGAGGCTGAGGGGAGACTATCATAGACTGATAGAAGTCTATAAATTTATGAGTTGCATAGATAGGGTTGACGGTCAGAATCTTTTCCCCAGAGTTGAAATATCTGAAACTAGACTTAAGGTGATAGGTGGAAAGTTCAAAGGAGATGTGAGGGACAAGCTTTTACACAGAGAGTGGTGGGAGTGTGGAACACGCTGCCAGGGGTGGTGGTGGAGGCAGATACGATAGGAGTGTTTAAGAGACTTTTAATTAAGCAGATGAATATGCAAGTAATAGAGGGATATGGGCCAAAGGCAGGCAGAAGGGATTAGTTTAATTTGGCATCATGTTCAGCACAACATTGTGGGCTGAAGGACCCATTCCTGTGCTATACAGTTCTATGTTCTACACAAAATTATTTAAGATTATGCCTGTGGAACAAGATGTATTTAATAATCCATAATAAAGGTACAAGTCAGCAACTGCATTAGTGTATCTCTTTCTGCACCTCCCTTCCATCATTGGGATTTTTGGTTTGGCCTCATGTGGCTAACTTGCACCTTCCTTTGTCGATTTGAAAGGATCCATGGCTGCAACCTCTCACAGTTCAATCCCTCAGGGTTAATTACACGTTACAAACAATGTCAACTGGCTATTGTTCATGTTCTTCCCAAATGCACAGGTATGTGAGTTGCAGCCATGTTAATATGTTTGCCCCTTGGTCCATTAAATCCGGCCAGAAACAAACACTAAGCAGACAGCCAACATAAGGTAACAGCCTGATGCTTATTCACAGCCTCATGTTTGATGGCTCGTTGATTGACTGGGTCCATTTCTGTATGAGCGACTTCTTTTTTCCCTTCATAAAGACATTGATTCTTCACAGGGAAACAATGTGCATGGTGCCTTAGTGCAATCATATCAGACAGGCAAGGAGGCCTGTACTATCTATATTTCTGCTCCAAGAACCAGCAGATAGAGGAACATAAACATTGGGATGGTCATAACTTATCAGAGTAGTGGACATGAGTCAACATGCTGTCCTTTCATCTCTTAAACAGGGGTTTGAGGCCAGCCTGGACTCTCAAACTGAAAGCAAGATTCCCAGCTAATTGCAACAATAGCATCGTGCATTTATATAGCACCATGAATGTAGCAGAACAGCCCAAAAATCCCATATGAAATGAATCTGGAGAATCTCAAGCCTGTTCCTAATGGCTGTGGATTCACAGTACCAAAGTGTTAATAGTTTAGTAGAAATTGGCATTCAAGTTAGTATTTTTCTTCGAAAGGCTCTGCAAATTTTCATTATGTTAGACAAAGTGGAAGAAAATTACAAGGGGCAAGTTTGAACCCTGTTCTGAGGCATAACAGAATGTTTACTTTGGAGAGAAATTTAAAAAAAGGTGTAAAAGCTTATAGCGTGGTTACCAGAAAATGAAGTGCATTCTTCCCATATTGACATCCCTCACCTTGATGAAAGCATACAATAAATAAACAAGTGCATTTTGCTGACTCAGCAATAAGGGAAGATGTATACAGTCAAAACTAATAAAATAATGGGAAGTAACATTACTCTCTGCTTTGTTCAAACAGCTTTCTGAAATGAAGAATTCTATCTGAACTGCTGAGGTGTGGTTATTGTTTTTTAAAAGAATGTTCCATTTTGTTCAAATATTTCAACCAAGCACTGAAAAATGAATTGGAGCAGGCAAACAGCAAGACTTAACCCATCTAAACCAGTCAGGCAATGAAATTCCATCAACTTTCTCTAGCCTGACCTATATTTTCATAATCTGCTTTTTCAGTTTCATCAAATGTTGAAATCAAGAGATTTAGAGATTATTTTCCTCAATCGTAAAAGTCAATTGAAAGTTGAAATAAAAAGGATGTGGCAATCCAGACTCCTCAATCTGCTTAAAATCCTTAATTTTCTCAATCAACATCTTTTCAGACTTGAGTTTAGAGTTCTGGTTTGTCCAGAATCTTGGCAAAAAATTAATCACACTAAGTGGAAGAGTTAAGACCATAAGAAATAGGACCAGGAGCAGACTGTTCGGCTTCTTGAGCCTGTTCTACCATTCAGTTGGACCGTGGCTGATCCAGCATCCTCGCACTTTCCTGCCCTTTCCCCATAACCCGTGATAAGATGGACTGAACCATTTCAATAGGAATCTGTCTAAAATCACTCCCATTGTTAAGAAATACTCTGTTGTTAAAGATCTATGGGTTGCACGACAAAAGACAATATGGACACTGACCTTAGAAACTCACATACATTTGGTCAAGATCAAAATATTGGGTTAGAAGTTAAAAATAAA